AGGTACTTCAGACGACCGCGGGAAGGCGAACGCTTGATCGTGCACCTCCTCATATTTTATGATTTTGATTTTTGGGATACTCTCATATGAAACTATTTTAAAAACATTTTTTAATAATTAATGGTTTTTGAATGCTTGAAATTTTTTTAATTTTGGCATGGTGTTTTTTATGGATGTTACAACGAATGATTCACTGCTGAAGGGTGATTGAATGTACTTGACAATTACTCAATAGAATTGTGTGCATTCATTTGGAACGTCTTATTGATATATTGAATTGATTGTTTTGTATCATTGTCTTGATTAAGATTCCGCATTAAATCAAACAATTGCATTGATACATTGATAGATCCAAGTTCAGGGACTTACAAGTGGTATCAAAGCCTTAAAACAGACTTATGGTTGGTTTGGTATCAATTGCTTTCGAAACAATAATTTACTTGTGGTGTTTTTGGGTTGTGTTGAAAAAACAATTGCTGCTCATCGTGGTTCTGTTCTTCGTGTTCATCATTTTCTTAGTGTTCTTCACTAATTTTGGAGGATATTGCATTAGAGATCGTTTTTCGTAAATTACCAAATTTGGAATTCATTAGATTAGGAAACACGATCAAAACCTCGATTTCGGCTAGGTTTCAGCGTTCTCGGCGGCTGGTAAACATTCTCAGTAAAAAGGAAGAGTTCTCGGCCAAGACATATAGTTCTCGGCCAACTGTTTTCGGTCAAACAGTTGACTTTCAAGGTTTTCAGTCAAACTGGTTGATTTTCTTGGTTTTTGGTCAAAATCAAATTGCACAATCAGATTTATTTTTGTTGGTAAATAATGAGTTCTTAAAACAATATCAAGGAGGTTAGTGAAGCCTCGTGCTCTCCGTCCTGTGAAGGTAGAATAAATAAATACCGTAAACAAAATGAATTATTAGTTAGAGAGGTTTTTGACCTTAAAAATGAAATATATGAAATTAAGAAAGTCAATAAACCGCTTAAAGAAAAACTAGAAGCACAAACTAAAGATTTAAGAAGGATTAAAGAAGAATATAGCACCAAATGTGTTCACTATCGTTTTGCCAAGGAGAAAATTGCAAACTTAACTGCTGAACTTGATGCATTAAAGGCTAATTTAAGGATGCTGGCTTTAATTTTAAGAAATTCGATGTGTCAAGTGAGATAGTTGAGTCAATGATAGAAAAACAATTAAAATGGAAAGACAAACAAGGTGAGGGTCTAGGGTATCACAATGTACCACCTCCCTTCAATGATAACTATACTCTAGTTTCTGAAACCATAGAGACAGAAAAATATGTTCAACATGGTCAGCCTACTGAAACAGTTTCAGTTAAGACTGACCAATCCAGCAAAACTGAGAATACTGAGGTGAATGATATTAATGCTTCTACAGTTCTACTTCATGTGCAGAGAAAGTAATAGTGCAAGACGGGTGTGAGAAAAACAAAGAATTTAAAAGGGTTGCTAACAATTTTAAGCCACATAAAGTCGTGAAACAATTTGTTAAACGTGCTTGTACTTGTGGAAATTCAGTTGGACATGGACCAAGTTCTGAACGTATTCCTTTTAAAAGACAAACCTGCTTTAACCGTGGAATTGCTGGTCACATTGCTAGAAATTGCCCACATCCCTACTATGAACAGGGTTGGAAGAACGTGCCAAGGGGGAGATCTTCCAAAAGAAATCCTTCGAGGTCACGTTCAAGCAATGGTGATTGGAATGCTAAAAATACCAAAAATCAGACTCTCAAGAACAAAAAGGTCATGTCTGACAAGAGATCTGATTTGAGATATAGTTCAGTCAAACCAAAATTGGTAAGGTCGAAGTCATCTCGGCGATCAGTGTCAAACTCCAAAAAAAGTGTTGAAGCATCCATCCGATTAAATAAGAAAATGGTTAAGCCTGACTACAGATGGGTACCAAAAGTTCCCACTCCCAAATCACCAAAAAATTCTAACATCTCTTCATTTTCTGTGTTTGATAAACAGGATATGACTTGGGAACGCATATCATGCGTAGATGGAAAAGGTCAACCCAGTTTCAAAATGGAATGGGTTCCTAAAACCAATTAATCTCGCACTCTGTGCCGGAGCAGCTATGGAGGAATATCATCAGACTTCGGTATGTTGGTAGTGGCTATTCCAGGCACATGATAGGAGACATCTCTCATCTGCATTACATTCAGAATTTTAATGGAGAGCATGTGTCCTTTGTGGGAGAAGGAAATGAAAGATCACAAATGGGGATTACATCAATTGCTGAATTACGGTTTGAATTTTCTGACTCTTCTCTTCTATGTGATAATAATGCTGATTTTCGATCGTCCAAAAACCTATTTTTTTAAACCAAGCTCATGCTTGTAGAATTTCTTAAGATGATACGTTTCGAAGACTGAAATTTCTTTTCATTTTTATTTAGTATTTCTTAATTTCTTCTATTTTGTTTTATCTTTGGAAAAGGAAATTTTGTGACAGTCTTTTGGGAAGTGATATGAGTTAGTGATAAAAGGCAAACGAAATATATGTAAAGCACTAAAGTTGAATTGTCTAAACTCTGTGTTCAATGTGTTGGTAGGCATGAAGGACTAAGACTAATGGACTAGACAATGTGGATTCATTTGGACTTAGAAAACCTCATTTGGACCGACAATACGACGCTTGGATAGATTTAACAGTAAAATAGACAAGGAGACCTATGACATAAATTGAAGCTAACTATAATCTAGATCTGTGGCTCAACACTTCATTGGTGTATGGACTCGTGTCCTTAATTCTGATATTAACAGGGGTTGACTAAGGGGTTCTGATAAATTGGGTCTGTTTAAAATCGTTATTCTTTCTTTCTTAGTCATCCATATGTTGTCCCCTCTGCGTGATCGGAAGATCTGACCTGGGACACAACATATGCACTCAGATGATGTTCACTGCTTTTAAGTCAATATATTGTCTCCTATAAATATGCTACTCTCTATGTTAATCATATGTTGTCCCCTCTGCGTGGTCGGTAGATCCGACCTGGGACACAACATATGCATTCCACAATGATTATCTACTCACCTGAAGTAAAGGACTCCGAAAGAAATTTCCTTGATTACTGGGGTATGCCATGAAGTGGGGAACATGTTCCAGTGTACTAACATTAACTACACCCATAACTAAAGGCTGACTGGTAGATTTTACTAGCTAAATTTAAGTGGACAACAATATCTCTGGTCGTCGGCAGACAAAATGGTCTATCTAGGAATATAGTAGCTATATATCGTCACTCATGATCTATCCTGAAAAATGTCATTCGTGTTTAAGTGGATCACAATATCAATGATTGATTAGAGCTTTTCATTAACGTGTGTGCTGATAAACCTCATTAATTTGCTCCATAACGTTTGATCCCAAGAGTTTTTGTTCTGGATTACATTTTTGTTTTTATTTAAATTTGTACATATTTTCATTATTATGCACAAATTTAGGGGGATAAATAATACAAATAATAATAATAATAATAATAATAATAATAATAATAATAATAATAAATAATAATAAATAATAAACAAATAATAAATAATAAAAATAATTTAATTAATAAAGGCGTGTTTAATTTTATTTTAATTTTTGTATTTGGTTTTTGGAACGTAAAATCAAAATAATTTTTTTTTATTAAAATAAGGTTACTTTTTCATGGGCCGAAATCGGTTAAGTGGGTCGTCTGGGATTTTTCGGTCATATATATACATCGTTTTCGGCTGGTTAGGGTTTTTCTCCAAAAAAACCCCAAACAGCCATCATCATCGTCATTTTCTCTTTAACTTGTTCGACTTTTTCTGCAAAAACCTACTCATTCGTTGTTTTGTTGCAAAATTGTTTGGTGAATCAGGTAATTTTTGGGTTTTCGATCGTGACAATGGCATTGATGTTGTTTTTGGTGTACTTGGTGTCATAGATTTGCAGGTTTTCGAGTGGATTTTTCAATGTTTTTCGAAGAAGTGAGTTGGAACAGGTTCCGATGAGATTTCGGGTTTTCGGTTCAACCCGGATTCAACCGAAATCAGATAAAGATCTGACCGAAATCTAGGTTCTCGGCCGAAATCAACCAGTGTTGATCGAAATCATCTGGTCAACAAGTGTTTTGACCGAAATCGATCTTTTTGACCGAAATCGACAGAAATCTTAACTTTAACCGAAAACGACAGAAACTTTGTCTTTGACCGAAATCGACTAAAATTTTGACTTTAACCGAAATCAAATTTTAAACTCAATTTAATTAATTTTTAAATTCTCACTTCACTAGTTTGGTGCAGATAAATAACAGAGCAACTAAAATTCATGGACTCTCACAACATTGCGGGATATCTCATAGATCCACCTGCTGCTTATTAAGAATTCAAATCCATGATGGTGGGTTTGAACAACCGCATGATATCTCAAGCCCTTCGTGCCAATCCAGTCACTCACAAAGACTTGATCACTGAGTTCTGGAAAAATGCTTCAATCAACAAGCTAGGAGCTGATGGAGTTGGTACAGTGGAATCGATGGTGAAAGGAACACAAGTGATTATTTCTGAACCAGTTATCCGAGAGGTACTTGAATTTGGTGATGCTTCTACATTCCCAATTAAGTACTATGCTGATCAAGTCAAGGAAGTTCTAGAAAAGATGTGTTATGAAGGAACCTATCCTCCCACTATTAAGAAGTTACTGCCACCTTACTGGAGGTTCCTGGCACACTCCTTTGTGATTTGCATTTATGGAAGAAAGGGAGGCTCTGATGAAATTAGTCAGACTGTGACCTCAGCCATTGTTGCTCTGGCTATGGACTGGGATTACAACTTCTCAAAGTTCGTTTTTGAAGAGATGAAGAGCAACCTTCTAGGAAAGAAAAAGGACCTATTTTTAATGTACCCCAGGTTCCTTCAAATGATCCTAAATGAAAAATATCCCCAAATTGAGAGGTCGTCTGATACTTTGGATATGAAAGCTTTGGGTCCCAACACTTTTGGACTCATGAAGCAATCAAGAAAGGCTGCAAAAGTTGCTTATCAAGGATTGAAGGAGTTGGTTAAATTTGGAAAGTTTGCTGAATTTGAAGACACTCCTGCTGTTAGTTCCATAAATGTTGAGGTTGCCGAGGAACACGTGGCACCCAAACCAAAGTTTCAATTTGCTTTTGAATAGATTAAAGTATCTGATGATGAAGAAGATCAAGAGGATCAAGGAAATGAATTTTTAGAAAATGAGTTTGAAAATTTTATTCAGCAAAGTATCTTAATCCCAGAAGAGGATGTTGTTGTCACTCCTCAGATCGTAACTGAAAGGGAAAGTGACACAATGGTGCAATCTTCCTCACCGACCCCTGAACAGATGGACGCTCTCATTGCAGAACTTCAACAAACTACAAGGAAGTCTCCCCAAACAGTTCTTGTTGATACTGAACCTCCATCTGGAAGTGATCCATAAGACTCAGCCAAAGCTTTACTCCCAAGGAAGCGAAAGAGAAGAGATCCAAGGCCGGGAGTGCTTATTACAGACCTAGTTCACAAGAAATCTACACCGATTGAGCCTAGTTCTATGGCTCAAAACATTCAAGGCACATTCACTGAGTCGTCTCCAGTAATTCAAGACGTACCAATCCCAATCCCTGAGCCTATTCCTATAGATCAGGATTTACAAAGCTCGATTGTTGAAGAAGATGTCATCCCTTCAGAAGGAGCTCAAGCTTCAGGAAGCTCATTTGAAATACCCGAGCTGGACATCTCTAAAGGCAAAAGCAATTTGCCTGAATCTAAATTAGTTGATGTGGTTCTTCTTCAGAACAGAGTCTTTGATCTGGAACAAAGCTCTGCTGAAAAAGATTTGATGATTGGAAAGCAGGACATTCAGATCAGCGAGCTTGAGAAAGAGAACTCCAATAAAGATTCAAAGATATCAAAACTTCAAGCAAATCTTGGTGGTCTAACTGATTTATTCTTTGACCTGAAACAACACCTATTTCAAAAGTTTGGTGATGAATTTTAACCTTTGAGTGCAGAAGGAGAAAAGATCATTGCCTCTAGTTTAGGTCCCGCTGATCCAGCTTCTCAATCTTCAAGTGAACGAGCTACAAGACCTTCTCCGGATTCTAATCTTGATGCATTCTTATCTTCTGGTCCCGCTTCTGCTCAAGAAAGAAGAGCGAAGCAAATTAGGGTTGAGCAGCTGAAAGGGAAAATGCTCGTGATGAAGCATTCAGAACAAAAAATGCTCCAGGTGATCACCCTGAAATGTTTTTCAGGGAAACTGGAAAGAAGTTTACAGATAAATATGGGGATCGTTCTGGCATCACTATGTGGGGATATGATGTTGATAAAAGCATGTGGGTCGTGAAGGAGAAAAGTGGAAGAATTGAATATTATGAGAAGAAAGTTGACTTCTTGTCCTTGACAAAAGTTGATCTTTCTGAACTTACCCATGCACCTTTCCACAATCCAACCAATGATACCATGGCCTCGTCTTTTAATAATTTTCTTGACATTAAAGCAAAATATAACTTTGAAGACTTAAAGACTGCTTCATCGTTTACCATGAAAGCCAAGGGTGTCATTGATCCACGCACCAACAAAACACTGGTGAATGCCATGTGGCCACCCACAAAGCAACCCAAAAGGATTCCTCTTCCCAAGCGCCTACGTGAAGGAACTTTGGATACAATACAATTCTGGATTTATGATGAGGCTACTGCTACGGTGGTGATCAAGCTGAAGAAAAACCAGTTTCGTATTGTTGATCCCAAAGATTTGTTGAAGTTTGGAGAAAGTGATATCCGCACTTTATCAAACTTTAAGATTATTGTGGAGAATAAATTGTTTGAGGCTGTCGCGAAAGCTTTCACTGGTATGGTAGCTACAATTATTGACAAAAATCTGTGGGCAGGGGCTTTTGACCAAGCACACGTGTATCTCATAGAGAAACCTTGAAGAGAACGGAAAGCAATAAACCAAGGGGGAGATTGTTGGGCTATATTTAGTGGTTTATGCTTTGTTTTGAAGGTATTATATGGTTCTCGATGGGCTTAGTGTGTTCTCGGTGGGATTTTTATGTTTGGGCTTTAGGTTGTCGGTTTAATATATATATATATA